AAATTAAAAAAAGATGCACAGTTTTTTGGCAAAGTGCATCCTTGGAGCGCAGGGAAAAAGTTCTCAAAATTTTAATGTGCAGAAGACCCCTGAAAAGCAAAAAGAACCCCCAACTCTTTGGAACTGGAGGTTTCAAGGACCCTTAGCTATCAAAATTAGTGGGAACTCTGAATGAACCAATCAAAAATTGATGTAAATACACNCTTTGGAACTGGAGGTTTCAAGGACCCTTAGCTATCAAAATTAGTGGGAACTCTGAATGAACCAATCAAACATTGATGCAAATACACTTAAACAATGTGTTTGCAAATTAGCCACAATTCATTTTGGTTTTACTGCCACTTAGATAAAAGTGGCACAAGTTTGTTGAGGCAGTCATGAATTAAGGTAAAACCAGGGCAAATGCCAGTAACCTTTGACTCTCAATGAAAATGCTTTAGGTAACCATTATGTGAGACATAAGTCCTTGTACCAAGTGACAACCTAAAACATTATTTCTTTTCTATAGACTCATCACTTTTGATTATAAGGTTTGTTACTGATAAAATTTAAAATTATTTACTGTATTAAAAGTGATGGAAGCAATAAAGTATCAAATGCCACATCTCTATTTGACCTGGATAAAAGGCAAAAATATATATTTGTATTACTTACAATACTTACTGAAAGGAAACAATGCTTAATTAAGAACATTGCATTTAATTAGCTCTTATTAACCAAGCAGGAGGTCTCTATGGGAGAATCTTGACCAAGGTTGTGAATACAGACTGAACACAGTGAGGTCTGTACTACAAAAAATACCATTGACTACTGGTTCACTGAGTGTGATTGTTACTGATGAAACAAGAAAAATCAAAGGAGCAAATTTTGAAAAGAACCCCTAAGAGGTATCAAGATCCCGTTTTGTGGGCATGGTTGGAATTTTTTTCACCCCTAAGACGCTACCAATTCTAAAACAAAACATCTCCCATGATATTTGTTTGGGCTCAGTATACCCTAAGAGGTACTTCTGAAGTTCCCGCTGTCAAAACCTTTTGAGACTGAACACCTTAAGAGTTACCAAAACCACTTTTTTTTTTTAACCTTTTAAACGTACGACTGGCACCCCTGTCCTTTTCTAGAGTAGTGAATGAGACTATAATTGGGGGTGCTTGGGGGTGCAGGTTAAGAAACTACTAGTTTTAACAGTTACCTCTTGTCATAATAGTCCTTCATTTTATAACTGTGAACAATATTCATCCTGCTCTTGGCTTGCATCCTTTTGAGGGTTCCTGTTTTATGAGTCAAATGAGTCAATGAGCGATGAGTCAAGTTATGAGTCTGGTCAACAGTTTTCAAAATTCAAAATGGCGGACGTTGCAAAACTTGGAGTAAGTACTGACTGTGAATTTGGTGGTTTGCCACGGAACGAGTTTTGTTTCTCGATTCCATTTTAATAGACAAACAAGTTCAGAGGTTGAAATTAGTCAAAGGACGCTAGTTACAGCGAAAGACCTTGGAATTTTCTTGCTGAAATGTGTTGGAAAAGACGGGCGACTGCCATCACTTGATCACAACTGTACAAGTGTGTTATTGATGGCATCTTTGCTATCTGGTGTGGGCCCAAAGGTACCCTCTTGGAATTTCTCAATGCTCTCAACAGCAAAACTGATCGAAT